TAGTAGTAGTAGTAGTAGTAGTAGTAGTAGTAGTAGTAGTAGTAGTAGTAGTAGTAGTAGTAGTATTTACATTGTTTGCTCTCCACTCATTGATGACTTCAATACTTGTGTTAAGATACCCATGAAGGTCCAAAGTTTTTTTTTTTTTTTGCAAAAAACACACAAACAAAAAGAAACGAAATGAAATGAAACGACTTCGTTACCAAATCCAACAAAAATCATAAAATCTGTCCAGAAAAGCTCCATTCAGACCAGATGAATCATGAAAACAAATCAAGTTTTTATGTTGATTTAATTCTTTAAATCAAACCTGAACAAAATCTAAAGATTTATTTTCTAAATAAAAAATCTCATTTCCTTTTGTTTTTTAAACAAAATCAACAGTGGTGGGCACAGTTCCCCTAAAGCACTAATAGGGGACCTAACGTCCTGGTTAGTGCTTTAGGGCTTTTGCTAAATTTAAAGTTTATTAGTGGATTAGCACTTGTTAAATTTAAAAGCACAAACTGATGTCTATAAGTGTTACTGATCAACATTATTGTTCACAGTTGAGGGTGAAAGTTGTCACACATTTTGTTCATATGTGTGTCGCTTATCTACAAGTTCATGTGTTAAACTCAAGGCCCGTGGGCCAAATGTGGCCTGCAGGTGACTCCCATTTGGCCCAGTAAGGGAACTAGGTGACAACATCCTGCACACAGTAAATATTGTCTCATGTTGGCTGAAGAATGTGTGAACTGGATTATATTAGTGCTTTAGAATTAGGGGACCTGAATATTTTAGTTAGTGGAACTAATAATTAGGTTAGTGCTGCTCACCACTGGAAATCACTTATAAATAAAGTTTTTTTAAGTCAGTCAATCAGCACAGTTTTAATCACAACAGGAGCTTTTATTTTGAAATGTTTGTTGGGAGCTGACGGACGTCTCTGTCCCCTGCCCCCTGTCCAGGCGCTGGCGGACCTGGTCCAGTCCCACCTGAAGTCCAACGAGCCGTGCTCCCGGCAGCTGACCCTGCGCTGCCCGCTCTGCACCAACCCCACCTGTGAGGAGACCAAGTCCTTCTTCACCAACCAGAAGCTCTGAGTCCCACAGAGACCTGGTGTTTTTTAAAGACCTGCTGGAGACTGAAGGCCTTTGGGACCTGACAGGATCCACAGACCGGACCCAACAGATGCTTCACTGCTCCTGAAACTTTTCCACATTTTCTCTGATTCTGTTCTCCGGCTCCTTCGAGACGCTTCTTCTTCTCTGGTTGGTGACAAACGGCGTCCTCAGGGGGTCCAGACCGGCCCTCGGCTTCTTTTCATCTGCTGGTTCTTCTTCTGCTGATGATTTAACCCCTCGTCTGACCCCCCTACCCCCATTACACTAAAGTCTCGCCACGAAAAACATCATGTTCTGGAGTCTAAACTATTTATTTAACTCTTTCTGTTGTAAACATCTGAACTTTAAATGTGAAGAGAAGCTTTAGCTAAAGCTGGACGCTAGCTTAGAGGGTTTGGCTAAGGCTTCATGCTAACTAAGATGGTTTAGCTAAGGCTGGGTGCTAGCTGAGCAGGTTAGCTAAGGCTAGATGCTAGCTGAGAAGGTTTAGCTAAGGCTAGATGCTAGCTGAGAAGGTTTAGCTAAGGCTAGATGCTAGCTGAGAAAGTTTAGCTAAGGCTGGATGCTAGCAGAAAAGGTTTAGCTTACGCTAGGTGCTAGCTGAAAAGGTTCAGCTTACGCTAGGTGCTAGCTGAAAAGGTTTAGCTTCATTTGATTTGATTTAAAATATTGTTAAAATATTGTTGATTCTCCGTCTGTCAGATATTTTCAGAATTATTTATAAAAAAATGTTGGCAGGAAGTGGATGTATTTAATTTTTTTTAATYTTTTTGATTTGTTACGATACAAAAATGTGCCTTTTTACACAGGACGAACAGAAACACTGGATTTGTGCTTTACGTTAAAAAAAACGTTAACAAAAAATAAATCTTCTGGGACCTGGGCCGTAAATCAGCTGTAACTTTTAAATTCAGGAAAAAAAGGTTTGCAATGGCGAGATGAGTGAAAGGATTTAGCTAAGGCTGCAAGCTAACCAAAAGGGTTTTAGCTAAGGCTACGTGCTAACCAAAACATTTAGCTAAAGCTGCACGCTAACCAAAAATGGTTTAGCTAAGGCTGCACGCTAACTAGCTAACAAGTTGTAGGATTCTTGCTAACAGGAACTGTTTAGCTAAAACAGCAGGCTAAGTGACGATGTTTAGCTTGGGGAAATGGCTTAAATTAGGTAGKTGATTGGCTAACTAGCAAGTAGCATTGTTCTATGTTGTATCTTTTATAGACATCAGTTAGTAGCTACTTATTTTATTTATATATGAAGCTCACAGTGTTTCTAAGCTAAATGCTTTCAGTAAGCTAATCTGTAACCTTTGTGATTAACTTAAACAAAAGTCTGTGAAGCTGAAATGATTTGATATGATGATGTTTGCTAAAAGGCCTTTTTCTTGGGAAGGTGTCAGAATATTCAACTTTGGCTTAAGTGATTGCTAATGGGTGCTAGTTAGCATGTTAGCATGGTTTGGATGTTTAAATACCACTTCGACTTTTTATTGACTCAGGCTTTAGTTTTAGAAAACAGTGACATGTTTCAGCCACTAAATGTCGTTTACTTTATAAATCATATTTTATTTTTTATTTTTTTCCATAAAACTTCCAGGATGTGAGGCGTTCGGGGTAAAGTTTCACTTCTCAGTGCTCTTCCAGAGGGTTTAAAGGGATGCTTTGAAACTAGTTTAGGTTTGAGTCAGATTGTACAGAACTGGACTAACGTCTTCAGTCACCTTCATTTTTTTATACGTCATGAAGAAAATCTAGATTCTGTGTTGAGTTGAATAAATAACAGGTTCATCCTGTGAGTTTAGCTGCCTTACAGCCTGAATTTTTATTCAAGAACACACATTTTTTGAGAAACTGGCACTTTGGAAACCAAACAAATACATGAAGTGTAGCTCAAAACGTTAGCGCTGAATGTTTAATGTGAATAACCCATTGTGTTAGTAAAATAATGGGGGCCTTTTCCTTCATTCAGCAGATCTTAACATTAAAATTAAAATGCCTCCAGATCAAATTAGTTCTCTTTAAAAACATTTTATTATTTGTAGAAAGGGTTCAAGTCGCAACAAAAGATGTATTAATCTTTAATAATAAATGTTTCCTCATTTATTATCTTTTTTTTTTTTTTGTTAAAATGTTGAGTTCGAGTCCAACAACAGTGTAACTTACAGTTTCATTGTGTTTTCTGATTTATTTTGTGAGTTTGTTTCAGGTCATAAACATGATTTCTGGAGTTGATTCTTGTACCTCAGCACCATTTAAATAACTGAAAACTTAACAGGTGTTTGTTTTTTAACTGGTGAAAATATCTGTAGGCTTGGGGTCAAAAACTGCAGTAACATGTGATGATAAGTCTTCCTTTGAAATAAAATCTCTTAAAAACACTTTCACGTAACCGTCTTTGTGGGTTTTTTTATATAAAGTTAATACACGCCACGCACTTTTTGATCATAGTTAACGGCTTAGTTTAACTAAAGTGGCTAGCTTAGTGAAAATAGTCAAGCTAATGCTGTCAAATAATCAAAAACAATCGAATTAAGCCGACGAGCTGACTGAAAAAGGTTTAGTTTTAGCAATTAGTGCTAAAGTGGCTAGCTAATGTAAATGTGTCAAGCTGCAGCTATGAGCTCATCAAACAAGTGTAGTTAAAGCAGCAAACTAATTGAAAAAGGTTTAGATTACAGCAGTGAGCGCTAAAGTGACTGGCTAATGTAAACAGCTGAAGCTAAAGCTGTGAGGTAATCACCAAAAGTCTAGTTAAAATGCTGAGCTACTTTCAAAGCATTTAACTACTAGTGAGTGCTAAAGTGGCTAGCTAAATGAAAAGTTAATGCTCTGAACCTGTTCCCCCATGTTTGTCTTGTATGTCTTCTTGAATGGGTGTGTCTTAACTGGCCCCTCCCCCTTCCCTGAATCTACAGCACCTTGTGAATATATTTCTGTGAAAGGCGCAAATAAAACTTTATAAAGTTGTGGTGGTGGTGGTATTATACATGAGTTATTGATGAGTAGATTTTWTATGCGTTTTAAGCTTAAAAAATGATTGTATTATACATGAATAAATACGGTAGTTAATGTGGGATTTGATAAAAAAAAGTTAGCTATAGGAGTGAGCGCTAGCATGACTAGCTAAATATAAGTCTTGCTAAAGTTGTAAGCTAATGTCAATTATATTTTTATTTTTTTTACTATTCCAGTTTTTTTGGTATTTTTTCAAATCTATTTTATTTAAATGTTCAGGAAGGTTTGTTTTTTGATCTTTTGTTCTTTTATCTTTAGCTGGTTTCCGTCCTGCCATCCCATAATATTCCTCTCCCTCACATTTTCTCCTCACTATCTTTTCCAATCTTCTGTCCTCTTTTTTTCCACCTGCTCATCTCTCTCCGTCTTTGCTCCCATTTTTCCTGTTTTCTCTCTAATCTTCTTCTCATCCTCCTCTTCCTCCCTCCATCTTTTTTCCCAGCAGTCCCCCGCGGTGTTGCAATCACCTTTGCTGCTGTTGATTAAGCTGAGAGAGATTGGCTGTCCACGACCCAATAACCCCTGAGGGCGGCCCCCTCCCCCTCCATCCCTCCTCCTCCTCCTCCTCCTTGTCTGAGCCAGCAACAATCTTTCATTTCATTTTTGGTCTTTTTCTCCTCTCCCTCATATCTCTTCATCTAATGTTCTTTTTCTCCCAGATTTTCTATCTTCTCTCCACCCATCCATCTCCTCCTGGTTCTGGATGATTTCATCTCTTCCTCCAATTAATTCAGCTCCTCTCCTCCCTTTGTTTGTTCCTCAATTATTCCTCTCCTCTTTTGTCCTTGTTTCCTCAGATATTCTAGCTGCCTAATCTCTCCATTTTCATTTTTAGCTTTCCTACCATCCTTTTTTTTTTTGCTCCTTCATCTTTTTATTTTCTCTCTTTTCTTTTGACCTTCGGCTTTCTATTTTTTTCACACTTTTGGCCGTTTTCATGTATATTTTTCTGAAAAACACCTAAAACTGCAATATTTTTCATAGTTTCACTGGTATTTTTCTTTTTACTGAGTTATTTACATAAAAAGTGACTAATTTTATTTATATTGTTAAAAAATGTATTTTTTGTGAAGAAATCAATTTATGAACCTACAGTATTTACATTTTATTTGCTCCAGTCCTCAACAAACACATTTCTTTGGTCCATGTTAGCTTTCTGTGGTCCAGAAGTGTTTTCTGTGGTCCAAATTTAATGGTCCAGGTGTGGTTTCTATAGTACAGCTTTTATAGTGCAGGTGTGGTTTCTATGGTGCAAGTGTGTTATTTATTATCCAGGTGTAGTTTCTATACTTCAGGTGTATTTTTATAGACTATGTAATTTTTAAGGTCTACGGTTTCTATAGTCCAGTTTCTATGGTCCAGATGTGGTACCTACAGTACAGTTTCTATGGTCCAGATGTGGTTTCTATGGTCTAGATGTGGTACCTACAGTACAGTTTCTATGGTCCAGGTTTAGTTTCTATGGTCCAGATGTGGTTTCTATGGTCTAGATGTGGTACCTACAGTACAGTTTCTATGGTCCAGGTTTAGTTTCTGTGGTCCAGGTGTGGTTTCTTTAGTCAAGATGAGTTTGTATTGGAAGGACAAAGAAAAACATGTTAATCAGTAGATCATGTACGGGGCAGCAGAACTAAGGGATAGCTCTGGAAACCAACCCTAACTATAGGATTTATGAAAAAGGAAAGTCTTCAGTCTAATCTTAAAAGTAGACAGAGTGTCAGCCTCACGGACAGAAACTGGAAGTTGGTTCCACAAGAGAGGAGCTTGATAACTGAAAGCTCTGCCTCCCATTCTACTTTTAGAAACTCCAGGAACCACAAGTAAACCTGCAGTCTGACAGTGAAGTGCTCTGTTAGGAAAGTATGGAACAATAAGATGTTTAATATATGATGGAGCTTGGTTGCATTTTTTGAGCCCAAGTACACAAAAAATAAAAACATATATATATATGTGTGTGTGTGTGTATAAAGATGAGTATGCTTGTTAGTTTGGTCAGAGCCTTCAAATTAGTTTTAGTTAGAAATGTCATTTCACAACAACAAACTTTGGGTTCTTGATTTGGGAACTGGACTCTTCAACAACAGAAATTAAGATGTTTTTCCGATATGATTAGAAAAGTGTTTGTGGATTCTGCTGAAGTTATCAGAGCAACGTTAAAGTGGGTAAAACGTTCCTTTGGGTGTTTTAAAAAAAAAACCAATTGTCAGTTAATTATCCGAGGGGAACCTTGGTGACCCGGATGGATGCTAATACAGGTGGAGAACAAACCGGGGCTGAGACCGGTCCTGCCGGGGTCACGTCTGTACCACGAGTCGATCACAATCGGCCTCATCTGAAGCGTGACTGATGACGTGTTAGAAGTCCAGAGAAGCGCCGTGTCCTCATCCCCGTCCAACGTCCAAACTGCTCTTCTTTTATTTTGAAATTGTTATTCTGTGTCCGCGGCCGGCAGCTCGGGGTGGTGATGGGGGTGCTCGGGGATGAAAAGTGTGTGTGTGTGTGTGTGTGTGTTTTGGTAACTGCAGGCTGCTGGTAATTGAAAAGCCAGGATGCCGGCACTGCAACCCTGTGACCTCCTGCAGAGAGAACAACCATTGATTTCTACAAAGAAAGAGACGGAGCCACAGAGCAGGTAAGAGAGAGGATATTACAGGTAGAACAACGGAGAACAAGTGACGACTGACTGAAATATTCAGCTTATTCAGGTCAACTCAGTGGGTCTTAACAACTTGCTCTCAGACTGCAGGTTTACTTGTGGTTCCTCGAGTTTCTAAAAGCAGAACAGGAGGCAGAGCTTTCAGTGTGTGACCAATGAACAGTCCAGTAGAATTGGTTTCTAAATGATTTAGTTTGCAAGAAGCTGACACAGATGTGACATCATGAAAACATCAACGTCGTATTTTATAAGAAATGTTTTCAAATCAATGCTGAGACAACGTAAGAAAGGCCGACACTTTTCCATGGTTTCCCACGTCGGCTTCCTCCTATCAGACATCTGACCCGCAGGTAATAACAGAAAGACGATGTCATCAGATTAACAACTGGAGGGCTGGGGCTGCCGTTTCCCTGGCAACGGGGGCAGACAGGCGAAGAGGAGCGGGAGGATGGGATGGAGTGATTTAAAAGTGGAGTTGGTGGGCCTGAAAGGGTTAAATGGGAGAAGAGACACGTCTGTGTGGTGCTGTCAGAAATATGATTGGTTTTGTTTTTTGTTTTGTTCACAAATAACCTCGTTTTTAATTCACCTGAACATCCATAAAATATTGTCTGATCCAGTAGTCAGGTCTGGGTGGTCCCTCCTTTCTGAGCGCCTGAAACTAACCAGCTAACCTAAACTCTAAACTAACCATTAACATAAACTAACCAACTAACATAAACTAACCAACTAAACTAAACCGTGAAACTAACCAGCTAACCTAAACTCTAAACTAACCAGCTAACATAAACTCTAAACTAACCAGCTAACCTAAACTCTAAACTAACCAGCTAACCTAAACTCTAAACTAACCAGCTAACCTAAACTCTAAACTAACCAGCTAACCTAAACTCTAAACTAACCAGCTAACC